CCACCCCAGCCCAGTGCCCTGCAATCCTTAGCCGGAGTCACCCTGCGCTGGCCCCCGCCTCCACCCCGCATCCCACCGGGGACGAGCAGACTCACTCGCTCCATCGCTTAATGATGCCCGTGTTTTTCTTTGCCTTCAATGTGTTGCTGGCTGACTCTGACAGCGGCTCAATCTCGCACGACAGCCCGTAGCTGGGAGGGGAGAGATGAGGGTTCGAGCTCTCTGTGCTGCCACGGCCGCGGCGAGCACCGTGCCGGCGGGGCGAGGAGGCAGAGCAGGGAGTGGAGCTTGGGGCAGCTGCTGCTCAGCAGCTGGGGACGAGCAGTGGGACCTCTCGATGCCCCGGCGGCAGCATGGCCCCGGACCCCGCTCACACTTACCTCTCGGCCTCGCTGAGCCGCTCCAGGCTGTGGAACCAGTCCACGAACTGGTCCTCCTGCGTGAAGCTGTAGTTGTTGCAGGCCGACTGAAGTAGCTTGATCTGGGCGATGACTTCAAACTCCTGAAGCAAACGGAGCCCGTGAGACCAGATCTGTTTGCCAGCCCCAGCCTCCTCCATGAACAACCCAGCCCCACATCTGGGGACAGATAGGAAGGACCGGAATCCCCCTCCCCAAAAATGAAGAACACGACAGCAAAAAAGGAGAGGGATCCACCCCAAAGTGACTGGCACAGCCTGGGCTTGCACCAAGTCAGCCTCCTCCCTCCAGCCCGCTGTGGGGCTACCAGGGCAAAGCTCTCACCTTCCTCCTCTTCTCAAAGTTGATCAGCCCACCCTGGAAAAAAAAGAAGCTGAATGTCAGTGTGGAATAGGCAGAAAAAAATTGCTCCCATCCCTCCCTGTCCCCCGGTTCACTGCCACTGCAGTGCGGGCATCCCGGTCGGCTGACAGAGGTGGATGCACAGGGTGCAGCGTCGGCTATAGGATGCACAGGGTGCAGTGTCCAATACAGGACGCATGGGGGACCAGCCCTCCATTTATCAGCCCAGGCTCTGTGTGGAGGAAGGAGAGGAAGGGGAGGATAGAGATGGAGGTACATACGTCCAGGAAATCCTTCATGGCGGTGTCGAGCATCACCAGGTCCGTGAGGAAGGTGCCAAGGTAAGGAATGGTGCCCTGCATCACGCCCTACGGGGACAGCAAGGGACAGCGGGGTCAGCAGAGAGCTGGGACCAGCTCCCCAGCTGCCGGGGAGGGGACGGGGGGTGGCCGTGCCAGACTCACCATCTCTCGCTGCTGCTGCTGCCGCTTCTGAGCTCTCTTCGGGTTGATCTCCAAGGTGGCGAATTTGGACGTGCCCTCCTGGATGGTGGGAGAGGTGGGGATCAGTGCGGGTGGGAAACTGCACTAATAGATGAGCTAAAATTCACCCCTGCTT